TGAAAGGTAGTGTATAGTCTAAGCAATCGTCAAACAGATGCTAAAATAATCAATATCATTTGTGTATTTTTCCTTTCATCCCTCACAAACTGAATTGCAGACTAGTTTTAGACTAGGATATGAATAATTGGTTTCTCTTTTTCTGAGCGTGTGGCTTTGATCTCACTTATGGCCTTAGTTCCACCTGAGGTTAAACGTCACAGCCCTAACGCACCAGTCAAGTGGATATATGCGTGACTGGATACTTCCTCCCTCTCTCTCTCTTTCTCTCTCTCTCTCTCACTCACACACACACACACACACACACCACACTCATAATTCTCATCTCTGTCTTCTATAATCTGTTTTGACAAACCCTCAGGGTCACCACTGCATCTCACAAGTATTTAATTAATTATTTATGTTTGATCATTAACCATTCATTTTTTCTCTGATTTCCGTGTCCAAGTAGATTCTGAAAGGATGGATGGACATGTGACCATGGTACAAATTCCTCAAAGTGTGTAATGGATTATGTGTTTGGTCAGATTAGCCTTAGCATAATGCTGCATAAACGTACCTGTGCTGCCGCCTTGGCTGTTCAAACCAAGGCCACCAGTTCATTAGCTTAATCCTGGCTCTCAGTTTTATTAATAACAAGATCACGACATTGCAGCTGCTGGCACTGATGACTGTTTTAAATCGTGCATCATGTGCTCTTTGACCCTCAGGCCAGTGATTTCTTGGCCCTATTATGCTTATATGACGCACTGTGGCAGATTAGAGATTTGAGTCTAAACTGAAAATATTTGTGAACATTTCATTATGTGATTTGTAAATTATGACTGGTCTTGCTAGCAATTAGAACAACTCTAATATTATACTGCTTTTACAACGAGGAGTGCAACTCATCAATACCCTGCAAACATGTCCTTGCGGGGCCCATGCTGGCTTTTTTCACAGTGGGCTAGGGCCAGCCCACACCAAACCTAAACAGGCCCAGTGCGAGCTTGCCCAGGTGAGGCCCACAGCTTTGGGCTCACCGCGAGCTCTCTGTGAGCAGGCCACACTGGTGTGGGCCAGCCTGTTAGGGCCCAGATCAACTTTTGTATCCTTTGGGCCCATGCAAGTTTTGTGTAGGCAGCCCTGTAATGCAACTAGGAGAATACAAACAACATTGACTGGCCATTCTTTAGCCATTCAACTGAACTGGAATGGCTCAAACCAAAAGAGACCTTTTCAGAACCTGTTGTTTCATATAGGCCAGGGATCCTCACATCTGGCTCACAAGATCCACTTTTCCTGCAGAGTTTAGTTCTAACCTTAAGCAAACACACCTGAGCATGCTAATCAATGTCTTCAGGATCATTAGAAAATCACAGTTTGGTGAGTTTGATCAAAGATGGAGCTAAACTCTGCAGGAAAGTGGATCTCACGAGTCATATTTGAGGTGTAACAGACATGAGCCTGTTAATAAGAATTTTGTGGGCAGTTTTCTTCCTTACCACTAGGGGTGCTAGGGTGTTTTAGGTTTCCTTAAGTAAAGCCATGTGG